CGCCTACCAGAGCATGCAACAAGTTATGCTTAATATGTTACTACAGCTGCAGTTATTTCTCTTATTGTTGTTGTTGCTGTTGGCTGTTGTTAAACAATTCAATTAAAATGTGATTAATAGAAATGTTTTGTTCCGGCTCAGCTGCCACACAGCGTTGCCACTCTATTTGCTGCCAGTGTGACCCTGACCATCATATATTGTGACTGATAAGCATTTCGAACAGCAAGTGCAGTGCTGCTCAAGGGTCAAAAGCTTGAGCTTTATTACACAAATGCCTAAAGGCAAACTACAATAAAAAAAACTACAACTTTCATTTTCCAACACGCAAAACGGAAAAACTTCTTGCGTGACATCGCAGAATGGCGTAGAAAGAGATGCCAGATTAGAGAGATTATACGTACAGATGTTTGTAATAGCGCAGAGTCGCACGTAAAGCCCATTAAAATTAATAAAAAGACGAAGATGAAAACAAGAAAAATACAATCATAAAAAAAACGGCTACAAATCACAAAACAAATTCAATTTAACTATCACGAAAAAAACCAAAAAACTCTCGCTTTAGCTCGGATGATTATTATTATTGTTGTTGTTGTTAGATTTGTTGTCGTTGTTGGGCTAGTCATAATTAGTAGTAGCCCGAATCAAGCGATAGAGATTCATATAAAAAATAAAACCAACAGTAAACAGTTTTCCTTTCGTCTATGAAAAGTGAAATTAACCTGCAGACCAAATGTTACCACTTTTTATGGTAATTTCGTGAAAAGTGACAAATGTTTGGCCTCTGCTTTATCTGTTTATTATAATTTTTGCAATCAATATGTCGTTAGGGCAACTTGTCTGATATCTAATAAACTTTTACATAAGTTTTTTAACTGTTTTAAGCAAACTTTCGGCAAATGATTACTTGATAATTAATTAGGTATGAAATTTTGTTTTTTATATTCTCATGTTTGTTCCATTAATTCAACTAAAATTACCATAAATGTAGTCCAAGAACATTTCAACACTTTCACAATGCAATCAGAGCAAGAATTGTTAAATGCAAAACTGGTCGGGAGAACAACATCTATGCAAATTGAAGGCTTGTCTGAAACCGATCCGACACGTGGTATTGCATGTTTGCATATACTTCCATATGCGACTATATAGTTGTTTTTTTTTCTTTCTTCTTTTTTGCAACGTTGAGCTAATTGATCGATAATAATTTTCCATTTTACCGTTAAAGCGCCTCGTTTGTTTACATTCTTTGACAGTCTGGCAGCACTCCGCAGCACTCGGATGCTTGGGAAGAAAACAAGTTCTACGAATTCGATCTGCTGAATGGCTCTGCGTTGCTTGCCGTGCCGCATATTTCATGATTTAATTAATTTTTCGTTTGCCCATCTATGTGTGTGTGTGTGTGTGTGTGTGTGCTCGGATGTGTGTGTAAATTTCACTGCATGCGATATAAATGAAATGCAGTCGCTAACTGTTCCAACACAGCAACAAGCGAATTCCAATTGGAATTCGAACTCGAATTGTGAAGCTCGGTCTGGCAAGGGCCCAGTGACCCACTGAGAATGTCACTCTTCTTCTCTTTGCAATTAATTTCGTTTGTGTGTTTAAATTTCACTGCACTTGATAACTGTTTCAGGACTGCAGCCAAAAGAATTCCAATTCGAATTCGAATGGGAGCACGGCATGCCAAGGGCCCAGGCCCAGTGAGGCACAGAGGTTGCCACACTTTATTCTTTTTGGCATGATTAATGCTGCTGCGCAACAGGTTTGCCGTTGTTTTGTCTGATTGGGCAACCTGTTATCTCATTTTCGGCTGCTTCCTGACTGCCTGCTGCCGCTTATTCTTTGCCATTTGTATGATAAACACCGAAAAATGTTAAAAAAAAAAATAAGCAAGCAACGCAAAATTATTCAGGCGTTTGACACACTTTCGTTCCACCCAAAGTCAAGAGAGCAGCGCGCCGCGTGTGTGTGCGTGTGAGCCGGCTTTTTGGCTGCTCTCAGTTGTTGTTGTTGCTGTTGCGATGCTGTAACCTATTTTGCATGCCAAATCGCGTCTGATTACGCTGATACATTGACTTGTATTTCTTGTTGCGCCAATTGGGGTCAGAGGCTGGCGATAATTCTCCCTGACAAATCGAATTAAAACCCAACCAAATCACAAATTATTTATAAGAGTCACACGCGCTCAGTTACGACTACGTTTTGCGCTCTTAAGAGCAGGTGAGGCGCACCAAAGAAAAAATAGAAAAGAATTTATAAATAAAAATAAATAAAAATATCTAATGTTCATGCAGCGACGCGTTGAAACATTCTTTGCATATTTAATGGGCAATGCCGCAACGAACCGAGTGTTTTGTTTATTGAATTTCTCACTCTTTTATCAGACACACCCAGAGCTATAGACTTTTGTGAAGGTCACGAATTGGGAGAATAGAAAGCACGACCAGGTAGAGTTGCGATTGTGTTCTTTGAAGGCTTTGTCAAGTAAGAAAAGTGGTTGATTTTATTGAAACAGCTGCTCAGCAGCGATAACATATATTAACCTAACCCCACTTGTTTAACATTTGATATTAACACCTAACCTCACTTGTTTAACATTGGATGATAACACTCTGAATACCTCTCATATATATATAAAAAAGCTACCCAAGTTCTTAAAATCTCATATACTTTATGTTTATAACAATAGTATCTAGTTATACTCTAAATAACTTAATTTCCAAGCTTCTAAAGCTCTAAGCTAACATTTTGATTATTCAATTAGCCTCCAAACACTAAACCTATGCATTATCTTAGCTAAATGAGGCCCTTGCATGTGCCATTAACATTTTGCTTGGCGTAAATCAAACAAATTATGTTAAGCTGCATAATTAACACTCAAACACACACACACACTCGCACAGCCATTGAAAGTTTGCTAGCAGGGCAAGAGAGCGCTGCCAGACACCATAATTATGTTAACTACAAGCAGCGCTGTTAAGTGCGCTGTTAAGTTAACAGCGCATGGGGCCTGCGGCCATTTCCCATCGCTTGTGGGTTTACCAACTTTTAACGATTGTCGGAAGAATACTTCAGCGCACTTGAGTGTCTAATCATAAAATGCGAAATGTCTGCAAATAATAAAGCCACAAAAAGCGTGTACATTTATAATAATAAAAAAAAAACTAAATTATAAAAAAGCAGCAAAGCCACAGAGCAGAAAAACGAAATCATTTATAAAACTGCAAATGAAATGGAGAAATATATATAAGAAAAAAAATTAAATAAATAAATGAAATGAAATGAAAAAGGCTAACAAAACACTATCACTTTTCGCAATTATGTATTTTTTCATGTTTCTTGTTATTTGCGGTTGAAGTTGGAGCTGAGGTTACGGGCGAACATTCTAATTGGAGTTTTTGGGCGCCGCTGATAAGTTATTCACTTTTCGCGCCGTGTTTACTTTCACTGAGAGCACCTTTTCTCTCCGCTTTATTGGCTCAGGAGTTGCTCGAGGGAAACTCCAGGCTTATGTTTTTTTTATGGCTGCCTCATTTTATGGGCCTAGCTGTAAATGTAATTGTGCTTGTTTTTCATTTAATTAGCAACTCGATTGTTAATTGATTGCGACCACAGAATGGACGATTTTAGTTTTTTATTTTCTGTTGGCTTAGAATCTGGCACTCAACGTGAATTTCGACTCTGCTCCAATTTCACACAAACATTGACATAGTCTTCGCGACCAAACTGGAAATGGGAGCACGCAGCCGGCACCAAGTGGAGCAAGCGCCAGCGCTTGAGGTGTTAATTGCCAGCTAAGCCAACTTCCCTCCCCCAACCCTAGCACCTGCAGTGCCACAAAAAAGAAAGATCGATAAATGTCTAAAATGTCAAGTTGCCAGTCGCATGTCATTTGCTAATGAGCAAAGTTTTTGCGGCGCGACATCATTTGCCAAAGCAGCCCAAAATGCAATCAAGGTGCATTTAACTTAACAGCAGCAGCACCACCAGCACCAGCAGTGAGTCCATAAAAAGCCAGCTTTGAACTTTGACCTTGCTGCAGCAACTGCGGCAAGCGGCACTTTCACTTGGCAACTGCCTTTCAACTGGCCCCGTTAGCAGCCGCTTGCAGCGCACGGCAAATGTTGCTCCTCATGTTAATTGAGTTTATTGTTTTGGCGGTTTTTTTTTTCTTTTGCTCATAATTAGCACTGCAAAACGCCATTAAATGGCCAACTTTATGGGCAAAAACAAAAAATGTCACTTTCATTTCAAGAATTTCACAGAAACTACTCAATTTTCACCAGGCTAATCCAATTATGTACAGTTGCCTGGCTTTGATTTCTGCAGTTGGCTGATTAATTAATTGCCCCCAAGCATTAGGCTGAAGCGGAAATTGCTCGCAACTCAATTAGAATGCTAAGCAACTCTCTCAACAAAAAAAAACAAGTTAAGTTTTCAATATTTGAAGCAGAAGAGTGAGAGAGTGCTTCGACTTGGCTCTTGATGTTGTTTACGATGAAGCCGGAGAAAAAGGTTATCTTTCCTTTCCCATGCATTTGCACAAAACTATTATACCCTTTGTCAAATAAGTACAGGATATACACATAGATGCACAAATTGCTCATAGTCAGATAATAAGTAGATTATGTAGAATATGTATATACAATATTCTAGCTTGCAGACTCAAAGAACTGAGGAGAGAGCTTTAATTAGTATACCCTGCGCCTTGTTAAAGTGGGCATAATAGATTTGAGCAGAGGAAAGCATATTTAACCTATTTACTAAATATTTTTTTCCTGCTTATAAAAGAGCTGGCATATTTATGCGCGAATACTCCTTGTCATATTTACTAAAGCGCCTCTCAATTAAGGCAGGAAACGTAAATCTTCTTAAAACGAGAAAAATAGCTGAAAATGCCTACTTAAATATAGAATAATTTGTTTAGAAATCATTATTACTTTTCAAGAAGGTAAAATGTTGATGAAACTTCTTTAACTCTCTCTTTCTCTTTCTCGCAGCTGGTCGCAAACTGTTTGGCGGCTATCGCATAACACCAAAGCACTGTCGTGCCACCAAAACGCTGCCCAGTTCGGATCCGCGCTCCAATGGCCCGACCATATGCATGTTCAATCACGAGTGCGCACAGCGGGGCGGCGAGGTGGTGGGCGCTTGCATGGATGGCTTCCTGTTCGGCGCCTGCTGTCAGATACCGCAGACGCACGAGCTGGCCAGCACGCTGATCAACGATGCACAGAATGCCTACTTCCAGCAGCAGCAGCAAAAGCTGCAGCACCAGCAGCAACAGCAGCAGCAGGCGGCGGCCCAATCCTCCTATGAGAACTATGGCGAGCAGCAGCAGCAGCAGCAGCTCAGCGATGAGCAGCAACAGCAGCAGCAGCAGCAGCTCAGCGATGAGCAGCCGGCGCAGGGCATTTACGATCAACAGAATCTGGATAAGGTGTATCAGCAGCTGGGCAGCACGGCTAGTCAGGGTCAGAGCGTGCAGACGGATGAGCTGAGCTTTGCCAGCAGCTCCACGGAGGCGACACACTCGCAATCGGCCAGCGTGGAGTTCGAACAGGAAGCGGAGCTGCAGCCCAACAATGAGGAGATCAGCACCAATGAGCTGAAGCCGACGGAGCTGCCGCCAGCCATACAAGTGAACAAGCATTCGGTGAAGATAAACACGTTCTCCTCGCCGCCAGGCAATGATGATTTCGTGATGCAGGTGCTGGCAACGCTGCCGCCCGAGCATATGGATGACGTTCTGACATTCACCACCGAGGTACCCAACAAGATAGTCAATGGGCATTTGGAGCACAGCAGCGGTAGCTCCGAGTCCTCCAGCAGCTTTGAGGAAACACCCGCCACCAAGGCGCCAGCTAGCATAACCACGCCGAAGCCTAAGCCCCAGCCCAAGCCGAAGCCGCAGCCCAAACCGCAAGCCAAGCCGCCGCCAAAGACCGCGGCGCAGTCAAAGCCTGTGCCCCAGCTGGCCGAGGTGATGAAGCGACCAGTGCAGCAGCTGAAGCCCAAGCCCAAGCCTGCTCAGCAATCGAATATGCATCATCACAATCATTTGATACTCGATGGCGGCGAGTTTACGCACAGCGACATCACACATCCCGGCGCTGATGCGGATCTGGTTGAGGATTTGCAGTTCTCCACGGGCTACGGCCCACAGCCTGTCTATGTGCAGCCTCCACAGGAGCAGCAACAGCATCAACATCAGCAGCAGCAGCAGCAACAGCAACAGCAACAGCATCAACATCATCAGCAGCCCTCTTCCCAGAGCTACATTTCCTCCTCCTCCTCTTCGAGCAGCACGCAACCCAGCGCCTCAGCGGAAGATAAATATATTCTGGTGCCCACCTACAACAATGAGAAGCGACCTGCTGCGGCACAGAGCAATCCCACCACAGTCTCCTCGATAACCACGCACGTGGACTCCATTGAGTCGATTATATTACAGCTGAACAACAGCAGCCATGGCCCTAGCTACAACGTGGTCAGTCAGCAGACGCCTTCGTATGGCTATGCACCACAGGCAGAGCACAGCGAGACGTCGGCCACCGCGCAGTCGCCCAGCTACTACGAGCAGGGTAGCCAGGAGCAGAATGGCGAGGCTACCAAGGCACAGCAGCTGGAGCAGCAGCAGCAGGAATATGGCTATACGACCACGGCCTATGAGGAGCCCAGCTATGACAAGGTGTCCGCTGAACAGGATGCGACCGCCACGAACAGTCAGTCCGTGGAGCTGCCCACGCCGCGTCCCACCTACAACGAGGATCAGTCTCAGGTGCTGGACGAGCACACAATGCCAGCGACTACCTATCATGATGCCATCTCGCCGCAGGCACCGCAGACTTCCGAGTTCAATAAAATGCCCGTCATGGGTATAGCCTATCCGGTGGACATGTCCTACATGGAGGGCGACTCCAATCAGGCGGACAATGAGCCCTCGGGCTATGGTCAGCTCAGCAGCGGCTCGCTGGAGGGCAACACTGAGGTCAACTTTGAGAAGATCACGAACAGCTACACGGAAGCGCCGCAGTCTCCCTCGCCCGTCTATGTGCGTCCCTCAACGCCCCATCGTCCCGTGGCCTCCTACATTGGCATGGTGACCATGCAGCATTACAATGACCCCCTGCCCGCCGAGGTGTCTGTCTCCTCGCACACAACCAAGGTGCAGGAGCAGTATGATGAAACCTCTGCCGGCTATCAACAGCAGACCGAGAAGCTAGCCACAGCCAGTCCGGCGCCCACCAGCAGCTATCTGGCGGCCACAACAACAACGCAAGCGCAGCGCCCGCAATACGAGAGCTCCTCACTGCGTCCAGTTTTGATTACAGCCAGTCCCAGGCCACGACCCAAGCCCACGACAAGGCGTCCGCCAGCCAAGCAGCCGACGAGCATTAAGAAAAAGCCAACACAGAGCGAGCAGAACACGAGGAGACCCGTCCAGCAGCAGCCGCCGAGCAGCAGCTACCACACGGAGGCGTCGGAGTCATCCGTCACCCACACACTCATTAAGCAGCCGGCGGCCAACTACAACAGTGAGCCGCAACAGTTGGACTCCGGCTACGGCCAAGCTCCGAGCTCGGGCTATGAACAGCCGGCGTCAGCTACTGCCAGTTATGAGGAGTTCTCCTCGGCTGCTTCCGCTGCGGGCTATGAACAGGCTGCCACGCCTACGGCCAGCTATGATGAGCCATCTTCGCCAGCTGTCAGCTACGATCAGCCTGGCTATGGCAAGCCCGCCCAGCCCAGTCCCAACTACGAACAGTCGGCGCCAGCGCCTGCGCCCGCGCCTGCACCCGCCACCTATGAGCAGCCCGCGCCATCCGTGCTCAGCTACCATGAGCCGGCGGCCAGCTCGCCCACGCGCAAGCCCGTCTCCTCCAAGCCGATTGCCACCAGCTATGTGACGGGTCCCACCACGCCGCGTCCGCCAGCCACCGTGGACTATCATTACGATAAGGTGCCGCCGCTCTTTATGGCCGACGATAAGCTGGATGCGTTTATACAGAGCACCGCTGAGAATATATTGGGCTCCACGCCGGGCAACTATCAGCCGCCCCTCTATGCCACCGCCTCGACGCCCATACACATTCAGCAGCCGACGAGCAGCAGCTATGGTGGTGGCCACAAGAAGCCCGGCTTTGTGCAGATCAACATTACGCCCAAGCCCTCGAAGCCCACCGTGCTGATCACGCCCAAGCCGTCGAACATAAATTTGGCCACGTCGAGCAATTGGGATAACACAAAATTGGGTGACAATACAAATTCCTATGTCTATGGACCGATTGGGACCCGACGTCCCGGCAATACGCCGTCTGTGGTAAGCTCCAACGATTTTGAGGATCCGGGTTATTTTGGCATGCCAGCCGGTGGTGTCGGCAGCAGTCCGGTGCACTTGACCTTCACACAATCGACCACAGAAGCGTTGTACGGTGTGCCATCCGATGATAAGCCCGCTTTTCCGGGATATTATGGTCCGACGCCCACATATCCGGCATTCTCGGTGCCCGGCGAGAAGGTTGGCCAGATTGTCGAGGAAACATATACCTCACCGAATGATTTTGTCAACTTCCCGCCGGTGCGCAATCCAAATCTGAACATGTCCGCCGCCTCAAGCGCTGTGACCAGCGATCTGGAGCTATCCACGCCCGCTTTTGTCGAGGATATTGTGCTGAAGGACAAGATGCACACGCTCGTGCACAAACTGGTGGCCTCATTGCAGGGCAACTTTGAGGCGCTCGCCGACATGATCGACGAGACAAACAATACGGCCTCCACTTATTCATCGGGCGCCGCCAGCACCAACAATGTCAACCGCAAGACCACACGCAAACCGGTGCGGGTGGCGACCACCTCGAAGCCCAGGGCGACCACAAAGAAGCCCGTGACACGTGTATCCACTAAGGCGCCCAACAAGAAGACCTCGGCCACCAGCACACGCAAACCGGCCACACGTCGACCCACCTCATCGGCCAGCAGCACAACGCGTCGTCCCAGCTCGAAGAAGCCAACAAAGCGCGTAAGCACCACGGCCAAGACCACGGCGCGGCCCGAGAACGATGAAATTGTTGACGAGGAGGATGAGGAGGATGTCAATCCAAGTCCGCATGAGAACGAAATCGAACAGGAGACGCTGAGCTCTTATGGTGGTGCAAACGGACGCAAAATACGTAAGTGTTGAGTGTTTGTAGCATGGACCCCAAAAACAAACTGTCTCTCTCTCTCTCTTCTCTGTTTTCTCTCTTGTTTCTAATATGATTCATGCACATAATGTTCGATAACCCCCCAACCAAAATCCATCCGAATCGATCGTCCTTAACCTTACACTTGCATTTTAATCCATCCAAAATTATAGCACGTCGCCGCCTGAAACGGCCTGGCCACAGGCAACGCCATCATTGATCAACCCAATCGCTATCCCTTAGTCACATAGCTAGTTCTAGTTCAACCCAGTTCAACCTGTTCCCAGTCCCATCCCACAACCAACCGATCAGTTCATTCAATTCTTGCCTCCTTCCGCAAATATTCGCAGTTCTATTCCCAATATTTTTACTCTATATCTCACCGGCTGTCAGTCTGGACGCACGCTCGCTCGCTCGGTCACCCGATCATTCGCTCTCACTCTCTCGCTTTGTGAACACTCCCTACTCCTAACCTCACATTTCACTCCCCATCAACAGAATGCGGCGTACGTCCACATGTGAAGTCGGGTCGCATTGTCGGCGGCAAAGGCTCCACATTCGGCGCCTTTCCCTGGCAGGTCCTGGTACGCGAGTCCACCTGGCTGGGCCTCTTCACCAAGAACAAATGTGGCGGCGTTCTAATCACCAGTCGCTATGTCATCACCGCCGCCCATTGTCAGCCCGGGTAAGTCTTGAGCCAATCCTAACCAAAACCTTTTGCTAATATTCCAATCATTAATCATTTCGTTAGATTCTTGGCCTCTTTGGTCGCTGTCATGGGCGAGTTTGATATCTCCGGTGATCTGGAGAGCAAACGTCCCGTTACCAAGAATGTCAAGCGCGTCATTGTCCATCGCCAATACGATCCGGCCACGTTTGAGAACGATCTGGCGCTGCTGGAAATGGACAGTCCCGTGCAGTTCGATACGCATATAGGTAAGTCGTTGGTTGTCACAGCGAAGTTCGATTACTGGCAATACTTAATAATTGTGTGTAAAAGAGAAAAATGCTAGCTATCGCTTTTTTACCGTCCAAGCGATAGTTCGGCGAGGTCGGTTTTAAGTAGGTCGGTTTTTGAAGTTATAGAAAAGCTAGACTTTGTGGCAATACTTTATAATTGTGTGTAAAAGCAAAAACGTTCGCTATCGCTTTTTTATCGGCCAAGCGATACTTTGGCGATAGAGCACATCTATTCTCTAAATGCATATAGGTAAGTCGTTGTGTTTTTTGAGTGTCACAGCAAGGCTAGACTAGACTAGAATAAACATTTACTATCGCTTTTTTATCGCCCAAGCGATACTTTGGCGATAGAACACATATATTCCGTAAATGCAGCTTTGCGCGAGAAAAGTTAATCAGAAATATTTGTTACTGTCTCATTTTGAACTCCAAAGCGAAAATAAGTCTCAGGTCATATTCAATTCCTACTCACATTTAAGTTAACAAACTGTCCAACTTTTTCCTTGCAGTGCCAATTTGCATGCCCAACGATCTGGCTGACTTCACCGGTCGCATGGCAACGGTGACCGGCTGGGGGCGTCTCAAGTACGGCGGCGGTGTGCCCTCGGTGCTGCAGGAGGTGCAGGTGCGTGTGGTTAGCTGGTGGTCAGCCAGCATGGCTTGACATTTAACCGAATAAAACTTTTAATTGCCGTTTCGCACGCAACAGGTGCCAATAATTGAGAACAGCGTCTGCCAGGAGATGTTCCACACCGCCGGGCATAACAAGAAGATTCTTGGCTCGTTTCTGTGTGCGGGCTATGCCAACGGGCAGAAGGACTCGTGCGAGGTGAGGCTGCACTTAATGATGCAATTTGGACAGAAACTTTTAATCATGTTTATCCCTCATTGTCCTCGCAGGGCGACAGCGGCGGTCCCCTGGTGCTGCAGCGTCCCGACGGACGCTACGAGCTGGCCGGCACCGTGTCGCATGGCATCAAGTGTGCGGCGCCGTATCTGCCGGGCGTCTATATGCGCACCACATTCTACAAGCCCTGGCTGCGCAGCATAACGGGCGTTAAATAGATGCCACGCCCACTGCATCAGAGCGCAACTGTAAATAGAAAAGTAGGTTAAGAGGACAGCGAGAAAAGACAAAAAAAACTTAAAAGACGAACGTCGCATTCACAAAACTCATTCCCCGCCCAACTCCAGCCCTTGCATTAGTTTAATGACAGTTTGGCAAGCACTGTGGCTTTCAAACTGGCAACATTTCCATTGCCTACTTTGCGGCGTTTTCGTTTGGAGCACGCGCAACTGTAGTTGAAATGTGTGTTAAATGTTTTAAAATTAAACCAATTTTAGAGCGAGCAACGCTCCTCTCCTCACCCTCCCCCCCCCCGCACTTCCCCACATGCGCAATAATAATTTTAAGACATATTTATTTTAATTTCTAAGCTTATTTATTTATTTATTTATTTATTTAATATTGAGCTGCCTTGTTTTTTTGCTATTTATTTTGATTCAACTAAAAACTGTAGCATGCGTTTTTTATTTTTTTACATACAAAAACAAAAAGAAAATAATAATTTTAATATAATCAATTGTTAATTTTCATAGGCAAATTGTTGTTATGTTAAAATGCAAATATGCGCGAGCGAGAGAGCATATGTTTTTAGTTCAATTGAATTTATTATTTAATTAATTTATGCTTACGATATACGATATATCTATACGATATATATCTTATATTATATCTATGTATTTCTACATACAATTTGTTAGCAACTTAAGCGTACAAAACGAACAAAGCGAAAAACACAAACACAAGACAAATATCGACGAAATAAACGAGAGTAAATTAGTAAATTATTATTTTTTGATTATTTTTTCAAGCTTGAGAACTATCAAGGCCTCCAGATTTGGCATCTAAATTTGCGAATCAAAATTCGTAGAAAATTTGAAATAAAATTTGGATTAATATTTGTATTCTTCTATGACAAACTCTTATGTTTCTTCCGACATTTAAATTCTGCCGTCAACTTTTCCGTGTTGCTACCGGAAAATATTCGCCAATGCACAGGAGAAAACAAGTAAGAGGTTCTAGTCGGGAGCTCCCAACTAGGGGATACCATGAACCCTCTTCTTCCAACATCAAATGCATATATATATTCTATTTTAGAAGCTATATGTTAAGTTTGGTGACTCTAGCTCTTATTATTTACCAAAATTGCCCAAAAAACAGGATATCTATATCGATTTTTATCGATTGCTTGGAAACGGAGCAAGTTATCGATTATCGGAAACAAACTCGATCTGCGCGGGAGCTAGGAGCATCTATATCTAAAATTCAAGTCTCTAGCTCTTATAGGTTCTGAGATCCTTGCGCTCATACATACGGACGGACGGACGGACGGACAGACAGAAAGACACGGCTAGATCGACTCGGCTATTGGTGCTGATCAAGAATATATATACTTTATGGGTCGGAGATGCTTCCTTCTGCCTGTTACATACATTTGCATTTTGCACAAATACAATATACCCTTATACCCATTTTTAATGGGTTCAGGGTATAAAAAAAAACACAGCAAATCCATTTGCAGCAACACTGAAAAACTAATAACTAGAAGAAGAAGAACTAGTAGAAAAAGTACAACAGCTACATGCCACTGAGAATGAAATCATGTCAAGTGAAATTGGATTTTCCGAAATGCCAAACACAGGCGCATAAATCTTATAAAATCAAAAGCAGATAATCAAACTGCAACCAGGATGCGGACTACCAGGATACAGACTCCGCTCTCTGCCAGCTTCTGCTTAAAGCAACTGGCTACTTGCAATTTGCAACTGCAATTGGCAGGCAACTGGCAGGCTGCCAACATGCCCCAGTTGTACAGAGAGCTGGTTGCTTTTCATATTACCTGCGAGCTGGTGCATTACCTGGCTGCCAAGCTGCCGGCAACTCTCTGTGGCGCACAGCTGTCATTACAATGGCACAGAGAAACAACAAGGCCAAAGCAATTTTTAGTGCCATTTTATGTGCCACATTGCGTATGCGTCACGTGCAAAATGCTCAAAAGCTTCTCCCTTAATCGATCTGACTTTGAACTTACTTTCACGAACGGACTTAGTTAACATAAACAAGGTTGACCACATTTTATTTCATCTTATATATGTATATAAAAGGGTAGACACATAAAAATAAAATTGTTACCGCGGTTGAGAGCTTGTCAAAGCTGCATACAGGGTGTCCAAGCTGTTGGTTTGAATGTAAGTATATCTATATATGACTGAATGACTGCCTGAATGAATGAATGACTGACCAACTGAGTGACTGAGTGAATGATAAACTGACTGAATAAATGACTGACAGACTTATTGACAGATTGATTGACTGACTGAACGAAAGCATGGAAAAATTGTGAAAAAGCTTTGTACGCATCTTTTTTGTTTATCATCCAAGATCTAAGATCTTTGTGTATACATCAAATACTTAAGCTTACTTCAAAATGTGCTCCATGATTATATTAAAAGCTGAGAATATTTATATTAAAGCAGCTTTAAGCAGAATATTAACGTATATATGTAGAATCTGTTTTATTTCTATGATTTGAACGTAGTGCTCATGCCTTATATTTAATCTCTTACACATTTGTGGCAAAATGAGAAAATGCAATTAAATTTGCGCAGAGCTCGGCTCAACTTCTCCTCAACGAGCCAAGAGCATAGAAAGCGAGAAAATTGCACAGAATTTCCACAGTTGAATTTGATTTGAATGCAAAGCTTTGGCTTAAATTGTAAATAAATTTCGACACGGTCCGAATGGCAGCTGGCGGCGATTTCTTGTCAGCTGACAAACAATTTGACAGGCTTATCAAATTCGCAGGCCAACATTGCCGCGGGCTGTCAAAGGACACGGCTGGCAAAGCCCTAAAGTAAGAGGAAGCACTGCGAGCATGGCTCAAGCAGGAGAACTGCTTTCCGTGACGTCACGAGGCCAGGCCATCCAAAAAAGAAAAAGGCTGGCTACATATTAGATTGTAGCCTTTCATTGATTCCATAGGCCTCAAAGGCAATAGGCACACACACACACACACGCGCAGCGCGAAAGCTTTTCGCCTTTTAATTCATAAAAATGCACACACAGAGCACGGTGGCAAAAAGCTTGCGTCGAAAAGCTTGCGCCTTGTGGCAGGCAGCAGGCAGCTGCCGACAGCCGACAGGTGTTGGCCGTCAGTCGCTGAAAGGACACACAAGCAGCAGGTACGCACCAGCTCTAAGCTCTAGCAAATAACTAGTGTATGTGTGTGTGTGTGTGTGTGTGTGTGCGTGTGTGTTGTGTTTGCAGTCGCAGTTGTGCCTTAAAGTCATGTAAGTGAAATTGTGGCAGCAAGTTACGCGTTGCTACCACTTGCTGCAATACGCAGCAGTAGTTAGCCGCTTGTCGCATTTACTAATCAGAAATAGGTGTGTGTGTGTGTGGTGTGTGTGTGTGTGTGTTTTAATTAAAGCGCTAACATAATTAACTTTGGCAACTGTCAAAACTTATTTGTGGTCAACAATAATCAAGTCGTCGGCTTGAGTGTGACACGCCCACACACAAGCACGCCCACACACACACACCCACACACGCACACCTGCGTAGCCAACATTTCTTTCTTAATGACCATTTACCGTTTATTTTTGGGCCTTAAGTAACTCATCAAATTGTCCGTTTAACTGTGCTTTGACAGTTGCCGTCCCAACCTCTGGTTAAATAATATATGCTGCTGTCAACTGGCTGTTAAAAGTTTCGCAACAAATAGGGTCTTAACTACAAGTTATTGAAATGCAACAAAACTTAACAAGTTTGAACAACTTGTTGTTGAATGTCATAGCTGTCCCGGCATTTGCTTTCATTTCAAACTTAAGCTCGAAGTTCAGCGCGAAGTTATATTTAACAAGAAGTTGAGTTTTCAGTTAGTTTGAATTGAAGTGAAACTAACTTTTTAATATTAGAAAGTCATTTAATGCCAAATATTAAATTGACTTAGACCAAACGAACAGTTCGCTAACAAATTCTTGGTAGCGTGGTATATTTTAGAACATGTTCGAATAAAAATAGTTTAAAACTTACCTACAAAATGTCCGTCATTAAAACTTCTTCAGCTGACGGCTTTATACATTTTGCTAACTAGGCTAAAAGTGGAATGGGGCCTGCTTTGTGCTACTTTAAGGGGAACTTTGGGGCGCCCCATCAACATCTCAGCTTGAATAACCAACAACCCCTCAATTTTTCTCGGACTTGCAACCTGTCTGCTCTAACTCCCACACACTGTTATGCACAGAGATTATGTTCCACACACAGCATGAAGCGAATTCAAGGAATTCTATTTATGCATGAGTGAGGCATTGTATATTGACGCATTGTCCTCAAGATTACCAGGAAATTTAAGTGCGCCAATGTTTCGTAACTTGTGTTTTCCTGCAGCTATGACTGGCCAAAGTCCCATTGTAAGTTTCAGATTAAATTCAGCTCAAATGCGTTTATAATATTGTTTAAATAATTTTTTTGCAGGCTATAGATATTCCATATTCCATATCTAGAGCTGATTGTGCTTCTCTGCACAGGTTTTTACTTAAAGATCAATTATATAAATATATACTAAGTATATATAAAACAAAATATTTATACTATATAAAAAATAAATATATAGACTAAATATACTATTTAAAATAGACCAACTTTATAGACTGTATAGAAGTTAAAAACTTGGTGGACTACATCAGCCAGATAGACTTTATAGACTAGATATATATAAGGACTGCATATATACTAGGCAATCTATGTAGACTAAATATGCTGAAACATTTGGTAGACTATGCAGACTAGATAAGCTATATATACTAGCAGACTAGATGGACGATACATACTCTCAGACCAGACAAGATATATACTATATATATACCGACAGACTAAATACCATATATACTACATAAGCTATATAAACTGACAAGCTAGATAGATTATAGAGTATATATAAATACTGACAGATTATATAGACTTTATATAATAAGAGAAGTTAGAGTGTATATACTAGATA